TTCAAACCGTTGCAGTCTGTCAGTCTTATAATGGAGGTGAATGGGAATCACGGCTTTGAGAGTAAAAAAAACACACACAAACAAAACCAAATTAAACCCTGCGGCTCGTGACGATACATTGATGTGTAAAGACACGAAACGATCGGTCTGTGCAAGAAACTGAACAGTATTTATATCGTTTTTTACCTCTGATTCACGCAATGTCCGAAATGTCCTGAGCACGTTCTCAACAGCAGGCGTGTGACACATTGTTCTTCTTCTTCTTGCTTTACGGCGGATCGCAGACTTATAAGTGCATTACCGCCACCTATCTCTCAAATGGATTTTTTCAAAAAAATAATGTTTATTTGTTATGCATGTTATGTATGTTTATTAAAAACAAGTTTTGTAATAACTAATTGTTCCGGTCCGGACCTTTGCAACTGATGAAAATTCAGATTTGGACCTTTGAATGTAGACTTTGAGACATATATATTTTTTTTAATTGGCTATTCGTTGTGGGGGAAAAAAAAAAGATGTCGGGTTCGGGCTCTAAATTGAACTGTGCCGCTCGGGTCGGGTCGGGCTGGGTCAGACGATCTCGGGTACGGGTCGGGTTCGGGTTCGGGCTTCAGTTTAAAGCCTGTGCAGACCTCTATATAGAGTATCACTATAGAGATATGTTACTGTATGTGTCACAGCCTGCAGACCCACAGGACAGTCTCAGTGAGGAGGAGGAGGAGGATGAAGACGCAGAGGCGGCTCTGAAGAAGGAAGTGTCTCAGATACAGTTGTCTATGAAGACGCATCAGCAGAGGTTCAGTGCGGTGGACAGCGGAGCTCATAATGTTGTGTTCATTCGCACTCATGGAGTCGGTGAGAGAATCAGATCATGAGCTCCATCAGAACACCTCAGATTCAGATCATAACCTCCCTCTCTCTCTCTCTCTTAGACCCAGAGCAGCTAGTCCATCACATTCTGTCAGACCTCTATCAGACGAAGAAGAGGAAGTCACGTGTGATCCTGCGCATGCTGCCGGTCAGTGGCACATGTAAAGCGTTTCCCGAGGACATGGAGAAGTTCCTGAGTGTGTTTCTGGAGCGCTGGTTCAGAGCGCCGCAGCGAGCCACATACCAGATCTGCTTCAAAGCCAGAAACAGCAGCCACAACAAGAGAGAGGAGGTCATCAAAGCTGTGGCCAGTACAGCAGCACTCACACACACACACGCACGCACGCTCGCTCACACTCACTCACTCACTCACTCACTCACTCACTCACACACACACACACACACACCCACCTCACTCACTCACACACACTCTCTCATTCACTCACTCACTCACTCACTCAAACACACACACACCACACGCATCGCACACACTCGCTCACTCACACACACACACACACAAACACACACACACACTCGCACACACACTCGCACATAACACTCACACACACACACACACACACATCACTCACATACACATCACATACACACTCGCACACACGCATGCATGCACACACATCACACTCGCTCACACTCACTCACACACACACACATCACACACACTCACACTCTCACACACACACACTCACTCACACACTCACAAACATCACACACACACATCACATACACACACACACACACACTCACTCACAACCATCACACACACACACATCTCATTCACACACTCGCACACACACATCGCACACACTCGCTCGCACAGACACTCACTCACTCACACACACATCACATACACACTCACACGCACACACACAGCACACTCACACACACACTTACATACACACACACACACTCATACACACACTCGCACGCACGCACACACACATACACACACACACACACACTCACTCTCCACACACACACACACACACAAACATCACACACAAACACATCTCATTCACACACTCGCACAAACACATCGCACACACACTCGCTCGCACAGACACTCACTCACACACACATCACATACACACTCACACGCACACACACACCACACTCACACACACACACACGTGTCTCATCTCTGTCTGTTCTCTGCTGAGTTTAGGTCTGGTGGGGAAGCTGAATCCACTGAATAAGGTGGATCTGACCAACCCTGAGCTCTCCATCATCATCGACATCATCAAGGCGGTCTGCTGCGTCAGCGTCCTCAAGGACTACACGCTCTTTCGCAAGTTCAACCTGCAGGAAGTGGCCAAGGAGCCCACCAATCAGAGCATGGGCCCGCAGAACGCAACCAATCAGAACACGGGCAAGCAGGAACCAGCCAATCAGAACACAGGCCCGCAGGAGGCAGTCCATCAGACGCAGGAACACGGGGAGGGAGAGAAAGTGGATGGGAGCGCAGAGAGCTGCGACATCACCGCTGGCAATGGGACGAAGGAGGCGGAGCTTGAGTGAACGTGTGTCACATGACTGTGGCTGTGTTTTTAAAACCATTTCTACAAAGTTTGTGTGTTATGTTCAGGCTTTTGTTTTTACTTCTGTATGTTGGGTGATATTAACAGTTTCTGTTCATTGTACGGGACTCTTGTGTCATTTTGGACACATTTTCCTCTGAAAAGAAGACAGAGGTGTGGAAATCCAATAAAACAACTAAAATCCCATGTGTTTGTCAGTAGTAATGTGTTTTAAATATTTCGGGTGAGAATGAGTCGTGAAATCCAAGCGATTCTTCTGTCTGGAATATGAAGAGAAGGATTCAAATCCCAGATTTTTCATTATATAAAAGTAGGCTTTCAAAGACACAGTTCCCCTTCATTATTACTGACAGATCCTCAGAAATGCTCCTGAATTGACTGATTCTGGTTTAGTGTGTACTGCAGCTGAATCAGTGATTATAGAGTGCTGAGTCCTGGTGTCTCGGCGGGCGTCTCTGGGTCAGTGTGGTGTTAAAGGTCACAGCGCTGTGAAACAGTGATTAGCCATACGTGTCGCTCTCTGGAGACGAGGATTAGCCTTCACCGTGACCTTTCCTGATCGCAGGAGACGGGGTCACAGCGGGAGAGAGCAGTCACACAGCAGAGCTTCATTACAGAACAATATCTGCAGGAGCGTTCAGAGGCATTTCACACTGCTGCACTGTCACTTGCGTTACCTACACATGGCTTTTCTGTGAAGTTTTATATACATCTTAATCTTTCATAGCCATATTTCAGAGACAAAATGTACTTAGAAGTGGGAGAAACCTGAGAAAACCTCACTTTGGGGACATTCTCATAATAAAGTTTTAAAAAACGAAGTTTTCTGTTAGGTTTGGTGTGTAGGTTAGTATTTATAACTAGCTGTATATAAAAACAAGTCTAATAGGATGTGTGTGAGTGCATGTGTGTGTGTGTGTGTCTGTGAGTGCGTGTGTGTCTGTGTGTGTGTCTGTGTGTGTGTCTGTGCGCCCTCACAGTGGGAGGAGCCTGAGAAAGAGACCCTCCCTCCCCACGACGCAGCCAATCAGAAGCGTGCAGGTGATCAGGAGTGCAGGTAAGGTGAAGTGCTCGTGCTCATCGGCATACACTTTTGAGTGAGATGAAGTGAGATTTGGGTGAGATGCGGGTGAGATGCTGTGAGATGCAATGAGATGCGGGTGAGATGCAGTGAGATGCGGGTGAGATGCAGTGTGATGCGGGTGAGATATGAGTGAGATGCGGGTGAGATATGGGTGAGATGTGGGTGAGATGCAGTGAGATATGGGTGAGATGCGGGTGAGCTGCAGTGAGATATGGGTGAGATGTGGGTGAGATGCAGTGAGATATGGGTGAGATGCGGGTGAGGATGCGGGTGAGATGCGGGTGAGATGTGGCTGAGATGCGGGTGAGATGCGGTGAGATGCGGGTGAGATGCGGGTGAGATGCGGGCGAGATGCAGTGAGATGTGGGTGAGATGCGGTGAATGTGTGAATATGAATGATTAAAAAATGTTACTTAATTTTAAGAACATTTTTGTGTTCTTTATAAGCCCTTTATATGAACAGACGTGTATGATATGAGCTTGCTCATCTCAGTGAACAGCTGTGTGTGTGTGAAGGGTGAAGATGACGCCACACACCTTTGCAGCTGAGCTGATGAGAGGTTTGCAGGAGCTGCAGATGCAAACACAAACTCAAAGCCCTCCAGCGCTGAGACACGCAGTGAGTTACTGCAACGTGTGTTTACTGTGTGCTGCTTAAAGTGCATATTATGAAGTTAGCAAAGTGTTTTTGCACCAAAAATGATTACCTGGCAGCGTTTAATCAGATGATCATAGATCATAACTTGCTGCATTGTCCTCATGCCATTCACTAAAGATGCCAGAAAGTGACTGCGTTACGCAGACCGCAGACAGAACACTCACTCACACTCACCTGCAAACACACA